TGGCCTTACCCTGTCCAAAGGTAACAAAATCCTACTAATATTACTGTTAAATCAAAAGTGTAAAAAAATAAAAATGACTGTTTTATTGTTTGGGTGAGGTTGATTGTAGCGAGAGAGAGAGAGAGCTGCTGCTTCTCTGACATGTCAATGATGGAGAATAGGACAACTGTGTTGTTAAAGTAATGCTTTTACATTTAAATGTATCCAAACAACCAAAATGTCGATAGAAAATTAAAAAATAAACAAAATACAAGAAAACAAAACTAATACACCGGAGACACAGTTGTGATGGAAGTCAGTTTGTTCCGGAGAATAGGACCAAAGTACCAAAAAGATCTCTCACAAGATCTGGATCCCCCTTTAGGTTCAGTTGGCAAAACCACTGCATGATGATCCGTCATGATTGGGTTGGGTGGTAATCAGTGAGCAGGTCAGAAATGTACTGGGAAAGCCAAACCAATAAGTGCTTCATAGACTATTAGTAGAATTTAAATTGTTTCTGTATTGCACTGGGAGCCACTAAAGTGGTTTAAGTACTGGAGTAATGCAGTGTGTTTTGACTTGAGCTGAAGCTTTTGTGATTGTTTATTTCCAGCAAACAATCCAGTAAAAGAACATTACAGCCGTCCAACCGTCTTTGAGATAAATGCAAAACTTTTTTTCCAAAATCATTTTGATATATGAATCTTCTTTGGATGTACTTTCCAATTGGTAAAACACTGTTGTGATTATCAAATTCAATTCAATTCAATATAGTTGTATTGTTTATCGGACCGAGATAACCTCATGAGGAAGTTATGTGTTGTTATCACAATATAAATGATACGCTTTAATCTCTACTTATATATAATGTTGTTAAGCAGAGGCATGTTTAGATAAAAAACAAAAATCCATGGATTGACCCTTGTGGAACCCCTTTAGTAGATTTAAAGCTACACCAAACAAACACAGATTCTCCTATCTTTCATTTAGGGAATACAACCTGTTATGACCAGCGTTACAAACAGTCTGGTCTTGTTTTCTTATAGACTGGTATGAAAATAATCGTGGAAGCCGTCTTGATATTTGTGCTATACTGTCAGTGTGTTTTGGAACAGAATACCAAGACACATCACCCTCAATGACAATAGGTACCTTCCACAGATAACATGACATTCTGCACTCATGGGACAAGTTGTACTTTATATAACCAACATTAGGACCAACAGCAACGAGAGAAAAAGCAGTTTAGCTTTTCCTGTCACCTCCACCAAAATACTTGATGAAGTTTGGCATTGTGGCTTTTCATAGTCAATGATTGTTTATTATTGATTGACTCTTCAATCAAAGTAGCAATAGTTGACTGGCATTGGGGAGTTCATATAGCTGTTAACTGAAATCAAACTGAATATGTATAGATTTATTAATGGTTATGACATGGCAGTTAGGTGGCTTTTATGGTATTGCACTTTGGTCTTTCTTTGTAGTACAAAGCCATCGACTATAAGATGAGATAAGATACATTTAGATACATTTTACTTTTACTGACAAAGATTGCTCAAAAAGTACAACATCATAATTGCAAATGCATTTACCTTGGCCAGTTTGGTGAAATGTCTTAAAATTGTGTCTTTAGTGTCTGGCCTGATGTAGTATTGGTACAGACCAAAATCCTGAATGATTGACACATCAGTACAGTATGATTTCCTTTTGTGAATCTGTTGGTTTTTGAATATTTATCTCTGGTCTGAAGGTGTGATGACCCAAGATAACACCTGATATTCTGAGATTATACAGGATAGAAAGAGAGTTGTAGTTGTAGTTTGATTGGAGAATCCACCTTAAAAACCTATAAAAGCACTGGGGACAATTTACTACAACAATCAAATAGACCATGACGTAAAGTTTTAAAAGATCTTTCTCATACTGGAGATCTGGCAGATACATGACTATGAGTGCTCTGCATATCACATAAAGATAAAGGATTGTTTTTCTTATTACAATCCCGGTGGTGTGGCAGCTGAAGTGCTCATAGCAAGAACTAAAGAACGCATACATCTTTGATGGTCAATTTGTTAAGATTTTGGGCTATTATTATAACATGTATTTTTTCAGACAAGTGGAGTAAAAAACATTCTAAATGCACATTAAAGTGTTTATTTTACTACACTTTTTTTGCATCTGTAGATTTCACCTAAATTCACCAGAAGTTAGCATTGCATAATGCGCCATCTGAATATTTAAACAAAACATTTCTATTAATACAAAAAAGAATGGTCTTATATTTTTTTGAATGACTGTAGTATTTTCTGATTTATAATGTGATAAGAGTTATACGGAATTCCCTCTGTAAAACCTTTGACCCTAATTTCAACAAAAATAAACTTTTATTTAATGTTCAGATTTGTGTTCTGGAAATGTTTGCAAACTAGCACATTTTTAATAAGAGAATGCTCAATTTACATATTTAAAATTACATTTACTTACATTTAATCAACTGGGGAATGTTTGATGCAATATCTTGTAGTTACATTTTAACATTTTCACCTGGGGTGTCTCCTCTTTATCAGCCAACATCTCAAGCCTTGACCTTGAACCAGCACACCCTGCAACAATAAACTGTGAAAGAAAAAGGCGGTCTCTGTTTTCTGATGACCTCTGGATTTGCAAACACAGAATTCGCTGCTCTCTACATTTTCAGAGAAATTGAAACTCAACTATGTTCCCACAAAGGGTCACAGTGGCAATAAGGAAACACAAGGAATATTCCGGTAGTTACACCTTATCTGGAGACACGGATGCTCTGGTCCTTAAATTTATTGTGATCTGTGAGTCATGGAAAGTTCCAGAGCTTCAAACGGAGCACGAGAAACAATGACCCTTTCTGATGTGAAACTTAAGACTTTAACACTGACTGCCTGACGACTTAACTTGGTCACACCCTTATCATTGGCAGCCCACTGCTCCCTATATACAGGGATGGGTCAAATGCAGAAGGCAAATTTCGTGTATGTGTATATGTATATGACAATAAAAATGGTTTCTTCTTTCTTTCTTTCTAGATGCAGGCCATTGTAAAGATTTGGCAGTTGCAGTTTATAACTGCACAATTTAGTTATTTGGATTACATTTACCTTAATTTGACTTTACAATTGAATCTGCTCTGGGACTTTACTGTTTGAGATAAGGGTATGACGTTAGAGTGTTGGACTATTGGTCAGATATGGAAATTGAATTGAAAGAATGGAATTTGTCACAGGTATTTACTGACATGTTAAAGCAATTAAAGCTACAGTTTGTGGGATTTGGTGACATGTAGTGGTGTGGTTGCAAATTGCAACTAAATAGCCCTCCGCTCACTCCTCCCTTTCCATGACTGCTGTATCGTGAGTAGCCGAATGCAAAACCATAGTACTCACTCAGTGTCCATCCTTACCATAATATAACTACTTCAGGAACAACAGAAGTCAGACAACAGCTGGCGATACCACAGTATAAAACTCGGTGGTTCACGTTATCACATTTTTCTAAGCACATCAGAGAGGTGGCCTTCAGGTAATGTAAAAATCTGTGCAGCCCTTGCTAGAGCCTGTGTTTGGTTTGTCCATTCAGGGCTACCGTAGAAACATGGCGATGCAACACGTTGGACTCCGTGAAGTAAAACCGCTCACTATGTAGAAGGGCTCATTCTGAACTAACAAAAACACAAAAATTTGTATTTTTGCACACTTAAATCATATTTAATTTTTGCTAATGGATTCCCCGAAATGCTATACACTTTACCTTTAATTGATTAACCATTGATAAAGTGAGGTCATCGTTAGATGGGTTTTTGAAGAAGAAAAAAAGACGAAATGTATGGATGATAATATTGCTTTGAGTCTGCTGGGTGTAATTAAGTCATTATTTGTTAACATGTAAGCTCTAAAAACTTTGTAAGGCAATAATACAGCACTGGAACTGTGTTGGAAATAATGCGGACAAAATATCTTATTTTCACTAAACTAAAACAAACTAAAAAATGTAAACAAAATGTCTCTGTGCTCAGTGACCTGATTCACAAAGAGAGCAGTAGTATGTAGTTGATTAGTTTAACACAGATTTCACGTCACAGCTACAATATGGACGCTTCCCTGTATTATCGTGAATCTTGATGCCAGACAATCTTTAACCAGCAGTTATCAGACACGACTCAACAAGGCCAGTGAGGCCAGGTCAACTGACTTTAAAGAGAGCGTTTACTTCTGAAAGCAGCATCTGATCGCTGATTGCTTCACTTTAACATGGACTGCAGATACAGAGACTGCCTCAGAGGTGTTGATTCAACTGCGTCTCCGAGCTTTATGGCACGGTTTAGCCTCTTGTATCTAATTGTTTGGGTTTTACAGCACATTCACAGTCTCACCACTCCCATAAGACTTACCTAATAACTTGAATTAAACTGGTAATGTGTTTGTTGGAGCTGTCTAAGGGCAACTTGCTGACACATTAGCCATAAGACCTGTATAAGGGACCATTATGTTAATAACATGATTAAAGTAAGCTGGACTGACCCCTAATGGCCAAAACATGACTTTATGCAAATTTTAATGCAGGACTTTAACTTGTAACAGTACGTGGACATTGTGACAAGAGGCTACTTCTTTTACTAACATGTAAAATCCTGCATCGACTTTTAAAATGGTATTTCTTCCGGAAAATATAAATTTAGGAAAACATTCAACCTTCAAGTTCCTCTTTAAGTGAACTGGGTGCTGGAAAGACACCCTCAAAAATACTAACTAACTGTGAAACTGCTGTTCATTGTTTATTAATTTATAGATCAACAATTAATGTTCACGTCTATATTTATTAAAAGAAGACAATAAAATCCATCACTTACTGTTCGAATAACTGTTTTTTTTTCAAGTGCATCTGTCGTGTGAGGGAGCAGACCTTCAAAATAAAAGCGTGAATTGCGTAACATGTCTCGACCGTCATGTGAACCTTCTCACCGGAAGCACCTTTAATTCCAGCGCCGGGTCAAGACTCTTATTTTGACAGCAGCTCTGGAAAAGCTCCGTTTTTGTTGCCTTTGCCTATTAGCTCGACAGTGGTGCTGCTGCTGAGCCTCTCGGCAGTTGTGTGTATATGCGTGGATGGTGGACTGTTCCCGGTGGAAAAAAAACCCGACCCCCGGGGCCCGCATTAAAATGCCTCATCGCCGCGTGTAAACGGGCGAAACTTCGCGGAGGGGAGAGAGTTTAGAGGCAGGTTTTTTTTAGAGGAAAAATAGAGGCAGGATGTTGCAAGTTTTAGCTTGTGGCGCCGTAGTTTTCCCCGGTCTCTTCTTCGCCTTTAGGAAAATCCTGCCGTGTGTGTTCAAACACTGGAGCGATGCCGATGTGGTGCTGGTCAGCGAGAGGTAAACTAGCTAAATTCATCCTGTTGTACGACATTTCCTGCCGAAATACGACCTAACAGTGCGAGCTAATGTATAGCATTTGACCTTGTTTGGTGGCTACTAACGTTCCCCCCCACCACACACACACACACACACACACACACACACATTCAGTTAGCTAGCTAATCTTGTTATATCATTTTATGTAACGTGAGCAATTTACGATTCCTGTTGTCTCTATTGGATTACTACCATGTGTATTTTGTGTAATTGAATTTCCTATTTTAATGTGTATTAATCGTTATTGCCTTTGTGCTAAATTGGCCCAGTAATCTCCCAAAAAATAATATTTTACAAGCATGATTTGCACATATCACAGCTAAACTATGGGTCCCTGTAGGAGTATATATACATGTGGTCATACCATAGAAGACTGTGCTGTTAGCAGTTGTGTCTGTGTTGAAGTGTATTCAATTGGTCTGGATTTTTACAGAGAATATCATGCATCAAGTCCGACTAACATGCATGTTTTTTTATGGTGGTTCACATGCAGTAATAAGCAGTCTGGGACATTATTAAAAACCGTGCATCCCCCAGGGGCTTCGGAAGCGACACTATTTTGTTACACGTGAACAAACCTCGAGCTTGATCCATGTGTCATAAATTCTGGGAACAAAACGAGATGTCACATCTGCAGCCTCCTCAGTAACTTTGAGATCAGCTGGGATGGATATGCCAAAAGTATAATAATTAACAGTGTATGTGTGTCAGTGTGACTTGCTCACATGTGCACAGCTCAGTTCAATGCTCATTTGTACGCTGTCACTCTGGCTAATCCTCTGAGCTCCGGTCAGGGTCGACTGCTGAGTTAGCTAGGCTCTGGAAAACACAGAACCCTGCTCCTGAATGGTGCATCTACTAATTTACTAATGGTCATCTAACGGAAAATCTTCCTTACACACCTCAGAGGTTATAACACTGCTTGTTTCGCGACTTAACCGGTCTCTAAAGTGGACTGTATCTGCTCTGCCACAAAGGTCCTCGAGCTCGGATCATGCTAGTGTCTTTGGTTGTGGTGGAACAGTTTCAGTAGATTTCACATGTACTAAAATACTGTGTGATTTTCTATTAATGTCCCTGTGTGGTTACTGTGCCTTGTGCAAACCTAATTTAGTTAATTAAATAATGTGTGTGTGTGTGTGTGTGTGTGTGTGTGTGTGTGTGTGTGTGTGTGTGTGCTCTGCCTTCAATTAAATACATGTGGTGAAGCATAACCGGCAGCACATGTCAGTTAACTGTAACTTGGAGCTCATGTATGCAATGTAATGTATAGTGTTCCAAGTAATTTTGCTCATATAGTATTTGTTTGTGAGTTACAGGGACACAGATGTTAGGTAAAACTTACATGATACTGTTGGACTTGTGAGAGACGGATTGAAAGAAGAATGATCACCATCAAATCAGGAAAGCCCAAAAAATACAGAGTTAAGGTCCTAAAAACAATGGATGCTACAATTCCAGCAATGCAATGTGATGGCATCCCCCACGCAACTCTCTCTGCATTCGACCGCGTCTTTTAAACTCCACATCTGCTAAAATAAGACTTATCTGAAGTTTACTATCGGATGAAATAGAAGCACATGTGAGAAAATATTGGAGAAAAAAAATATTCAAAATAGTTAAGGCTGTACTGAATAGTTCAAAGCTTCATTCAGAACATTGACTTTCAAATTCTAAATCAACATTCAAATGCTGTGCAGCTTCTTCTTTCTTCTTGTGTGCCTATTCATTGTATCTAAACCTGTGTCACATTTAACAGATAAAGAAAAGGCCACACTAAAATTAGTGTTATACTATTTGTAGGATGAGACAGCTTAAGATTGTTTCAGACTTATGTGATCAAAACATTTCTAATAACTCCAGCGCATTGTAAAAAAAAAAAAAAAAAACGGACAGAGATTATCCTTTCCAGAATGCTAAGAATGTACACGAATTACAGTCTGTACAGCCTCAAAAGAAGAGTTGGTTTTTAACTTTCTGGTAATTAACTGACATCTCAAACTATGATCAACCCGAGCTGTACTATGTACGTCTGCCACACAGGGAGGACTTCCCTAAGTGTGTCCAGTGTGTCTGGAAAACAGAGAAGTGGGTAAAGAGTGTCAGCAATGGTAATGTCTGAGCGGACAAAAATGTGTAATGGTACTTACCACAATACTGGGTCTACATGTGATCTCAAAGAGTGCTGACACACAACATTCAGCGCTTAGTAAAAATACAAACCTGCATTGATGACTGCTCAACACTAAATATTTCCAATCAACTAAAAGGATCTGTTATAGAACATGGATATAAAACGGTAGACATTACACTACGTCATAATATACGCCATCTTTCCTGTGTACTGTTTACAATCGCCACTAATGGTCGTCGGTTGCTTTGCCAAAAGAGACCAGGGAGGCTGGCATCACTCTCCACACGTCAGTATAGAGTACATGAGAGATTTGTTTACATATGGATCAACTAAAAATACAAAAAAGTTAGTGAACTAGTTAACTTTTTCGTTACTTGGTACGGCCCAGCTGAGTTCTAAGTTATTGCTGATGGCTAGCTCTCACCAGTATTGATCTGTTAGCTAAACAAATATGGTATAACAAGCAAACAATGTTCGCTACGCTGACGTGGCTCAAAGGTAACGTTAACGTTATAAGAAAGTTATTACATTTTCCCGTTAAGCAGCTGATTCCAAGCCAATCAAGTGTAAAGTAAACATACATGTTAAAGTGCTCGCCTTAACTCCTAAATCCCATTTCATCTTATCTCAAGACAAAAGTGACAAGCCAGCTACGTCTACATAAAGAGTGAAGCCCAGGCAGATCAACCCAATAGTAACGTTAACCACATCCTCGACAGCAACCTTGTAACAACCAATCAGCCACCGTATTAGAGGCCGAAGGGTGGCACTTACATGTTCACCACATCTAAGTAACCCGAAACTGACAGCAAAACTGCAGTCAGTCATCATACGTTAACATCACTTGTAAGCTTACCTCATGCCTTAACACGATTTTCTCCTTTCATTTAAGTAATCCAGTTGGAGAAAAAGAGATTTGTACTTCATCAGTCCGGGTCAAGCTCGCAATTTTGCAAAATTCCCTTTGATTTTGCCGCTTATCGGGAAGTTAATGTCCATAACGTTACCTTCCCGATGAGAATAAAAGGCAATGCCGACGAGTCCATCAGGAGTCCAAAACAACTCCTCATTTACAGTTAGCAAGGCTCTTCAACCTCTCTTCTCATCAAAACAAACCCCGTCCTGGTCGACTTGTAAAAACAGCAAAACAGGAAGTGAGTAAATTGACACTTTCTCTCTCGTGTGTGTGATTGTAATTGCCAGCCTATAAGTCTATCAGCCATTCAGAATACCAAAGACAGTTCTTAGATATATTCATTTTCGCTAACCAATCAATTATTACTCCTCGGTTCCAGTGCACAGCTGACGATGCTTGATAACGGCTTGACGGCAACTGTCTCCTGATTGGCTAATTGTTAGTCCACTCACTGCGCTTATTCGCTGATTTCTTTTTAATCGAAAAGCCGCTGTTTCATGTCACAATGACAGACGAATCATTATTTACTCTTACCGAAGTGGTTAAGGAGCAATGCAGTTGGTGATGTAGCTGCGTCCAGAGACGGGGTTCCTACTTGCCATGAAATGCACCCTGTTTGCTTCTCCTTCTTATTTTGCCTCTGTCGCTTTTTCTTTCGCTCTGCTGCAGCGCCAATGCAACTCCAGATTACGCAGCCCATTTGCTGGAGGAGCTAAAGAAACACCACTCATGACCGTCGGACATCGAGCGTGTGACAGAACATGAAAGATCATGTCGTCCGTGTATAACGGGACAGTCGAGAGGGAAGATTTTTGGGTTGTGGTGAAAAGGGAAGCCGAGTTTGTCACCGGCCTGACACATCGGGAAAGAAAAGACAACATTGCTGAACAAGGCCGCAAAGCATTCCCCCCCTCCCTCCCTCTACACGCTACTCACCCCGTCAACCTCAACCTTTTATCAGCGGAGAGAGCGGGGGTTATTGGCGGACACACAATGAATGAGTTGTGTAAAATCTGGGTCTTGTGATAGAGTATGCGACCATGCAGCCTTAGAGGGCAGCGAGGCGTGGGGATAAAATGTGTGTTTCTAGGGGTAGAGTTCGTGGGGGATGGATAGAGAGAGAGAGAGAGAGAGAGTCCAGTTAGTCATTTCCAGCTCAGGCCTGTGGTTTTGTAGTTGCCGGTCACGTGGCATTTGTTGCCTTGCCGGTGTCATGGCCACATTCCCATGGAGATTGGTGCGAGTTAACGGCAGGTTCAAGCAGGAAACACAAACACACCCTTTGTTTTCTCACTCTTGCCATTTGCAACACACAATTGTGAAAGAAGAGAAAGAAAGCACCTTTTATTGGCCCTGTAAAACTGGTCATTACTTACAGCAGGACTAAAAGTCTTTTCTCGCGCTTAGGGGATTTCACAGGTCCTCTTGGTTCTTAACGAGACATGAGTCATGCTGGGTCCAAATGATATTCACACTAATCAGATCTCAGTAGGGTCCCAGTTATACTGACCAGGGTCTTGGGCTTTGTGACAATATGTGCAATACTCGAGTGGACTACGACTGTCATGGATTCAAACCATTTGTGCATTATTTCCATGACGGTGTCGTAGCCACGAGGGCCGTCTTGAGCTGAACGTTTGTCAGATTGCCCCATTTCTATTTATTCCTGTCGCTCACTTTGAAAAGTGGACGAATGGATGAGGAACTGCGTTTTTGTGAAGTGAGGAGTTATCTTTACGATGCTCCCCCATTTCACTACAAAAACCCAGATAAGGTCGCAGCTGGCTGGAGGCAGATTGCCTGACAAAGTCTCCTACTTGCTGTTGGGCCCATTTCTAGTAAATATCACAACACAAAACGTGTTTTCTGTTTCAGTGGTTACGTCTCCAGTATGATCGTATGTGGTTTGTTTACATGGCGTAGCGTTTGCTGTCAGGACACGGCATCTCTCTCTCTCTGTGGCCAAGTTTTCTGCCATCATTACGGTTGTTGTTTAATTATCCCTCGTTCAGCTCGACCAAACGCTTACAATTCATTTTCAATTAATAGAAAGTGACATTGTGTGACTCTTATCTGGCGGTGCCTTCAGTGCACGCGAGATAAACAGCTGCAGTAGTGCTGCCTTTTTTTTCTTCACAATCGAATATTAATTATCATAATCGGATGTGTGTGTATATACATCGAACTTTTCACGAGGTAACCCGTGTTTGTCTCCAGTCTTTGCTGTAGGTGGGGATGAGTAGGTGTCGGATGTAAACCCGGACACACAAGGAGCAGTGAAAAGCTTGAAACATTTAGACGGTGGCGTGTTAAAGGGCCGACTGTCTATTATGGCCACAGCGAGTGTTGGGGAATGAATTACATGTTTTCTGATTTCAAAGCGGCTTACTGTCAGTGCTGCCAAGTTGGAGAAGAGCCAGGGAGAAAGCTTGTCTGAGCAAAAACGGCTATTCATAGTTTGAACAAATTGGTGATATAATCCAACGTCCTGTTTAAAATGGCCAGAATTCTCGTTTTTTTCCACAGAACATTACAGTCAGTAAGTTTGTTTTACTGTCGAAGTTACTATTCAACACATCTCATAAGTTAATGACTTGTGAGTTTACTTTAAGATAGGTGCGACGCCTATGAATGTGTGTGTGTCTTAGGCCACCTCACACAGTGGCACTTCAAATAGAGATGTACCAAGTTCTCCTATGTCACAGGTCTGTTTATAGACGAGGAAAGTCGAGGCCAAGCGCTGCTAATCCCACGATGTTACACTGAACTTGTAGGTCTGACTGCTTGTGTTGTTCACCTGAAGGGGACACTCTCTCCAAACTTGACCCAGATTCATCAGGTTTTACCCAGGCGGCAAACCTCCGGTTCTGAAAAGTGAAGCCAATGCGGAAGTGCCTTACACGTGAATTCTTATTAATAGTCAGCAGGAAGCGACTCCTAAAGTAAATTGTAACATTTTGGGCGCCAAAAAATGTCATTCAGAGTTTGGTTGTACTTGGCTCCATCTTCTTGTGTCACTTTTGGTGGCAAAAAAACAAGATGGCAATGGGCAAAATACTGAACTGAAGGCTTTAAAAACAGTCCAAACCAAACCAGTGGGTTACGTCATGTTGTCCACGTCTTATATACAGTTTTTGAGGCTGTACTTGGGGGTGGCAGTGCTATGAGCGACATGCTAATGTCAGCTTGCTAACCGGCTAGAAAAGACTAATGCTAACATGTTGATGTTTAGCAGGAATAATGTGGACCATCTTATTGTGTTAGCATGCTAACGCTGGACCGACAGACCCACATTGCCATCATGGCTAAAAAACAAATATGCTTTCATGTTCTACTTGCAGCTGTGGTGTGATTAATAACTGGTGTATTTGACTCTTTCTCTCCTGTGTCTCTTTCTCAGACTGGTGTCCTCCATCCATGCCGTCATGGCCACCACGGTAGGAGTCATCGTTGTGGCATCATGCCGGGAGAGCGTCATCAACGACAGGTTAGACGTCACCTCGTTGATCCCCTTCATGAAATACGTGCTTACCTATACACTTCTGAATCCCGCTGACTTCCCAATCTCTACTCAATCATGCCACATAGCCCCTCCGCACACCCAAGGAGCGTTGCAGAGTAGAGGAAAGACGGGTGAAGTGAAGAAGATTTGTTCTGTATCGGTTACAGACTGGCTTAGTAGTGAACAACGTGCTAACGGATTTGATGTTTTGTGTTTTTTAGCTGCGCTAGACCCGTTTGCAGGAGGCGATGTAATGTAGCCCCGGTGTGTTTCGGGGAAGTGAGCACTGCGCTCACACTCTGTTTAAATAATAGCTTTTATAATTGCTTCATTGTTTGTCAGAAACCGGTCAAATGTATGTACCTTAGGAGGCAACTTGTCCTTGTGTGCTCTGATATATTTGCTCTTGGTGTTCTTCACGACTGTTTTGGAACGAACCAGCTTTTAAAGTGTAAACGGGTGCAATGAGGCGGATCCAATTTATGCGGATGTGAAGAGTGGTTCATGTGGATTTCGAAAAAGTAAATACATAGTTTGAAAAGTAACTATGTATCATTTGGGAGGCCAGGCGTCGTCGTCTTTTTTTGGCCAAGCTCCACCTACACATCAGCACCCTGGTAGCAAGTTAGCACAGCGTTAGCCTCCCAGCGCATTGTTTGGGGGGGGGGGGGGGGGGGGGGGGGGGGGGG